CATGTCACAAATCAATGGGCAAAGTGAAATAATAGGGATGGTATAAGCTTGAATATACACTTGCATATGTACAGCTAGGTAAGTACACATAAAAACAATTATAAAACCGATAGGCATGCAGGGAAATAGACCACAAAGTTTGGCATAATCACTCGGGCGACATCGAAGTGAAGAATTGTTCTGCTGATGAATAAATTATCCCAATATTTCTAAGAGTATGTACCAAGGTGGAACGTGTTCCACAGATACAACTTTGATGCTGAATTGGTGTACTGAAAGAGGTTTGGTTTAGAAAGTGGTCACAGCTACCTGGTTTGCATGTGCCATTAGTTTCAACATGGAGGAACCGTTGGGCAAAAGCGACCACGAAGTGATTTGCTTTAGACTAACGGTTAGCTATCGCAGACACGGACCTACCCTCATCCGGCTCTATGGGCGCATAAACGTCCCAGAGTTCGTACAGACTGCAAATATCATCAATTGTACCCGACGTCCCAGGAGTGTACCGTGCAAGATAGATGGGACGTAGTTAAAAGGGGGTGAACTAACCTCACAGAAAGGTTCGCGCCACTGAGGGAAGGACGAACCAGACATCGACCAATATGGTGGAAATCCGGGATAGAGAGGGCGCGTAAAGTTTGCAGAAAATATTGGGATCGCTTCAAGCTTTACGGCACTCAACAAGCCTGGAGTGACTATAAGCGAGCGCGAAACAGATGTCAAGACCTTCAAGGCGTGCCAAATATGACTTCCAGTTTAACTTAGTACGAACCCCAAAAGCTTCTATGCGTGCGTGCGAGCCGACGCACGCACACGGAAGGTAAGTGCGCAGCATCCAAACGCGGCTTAATTCAAAAAGTTCAAGATCGTTTGATCGATCCCCATTCTCCAAGTCATGAAAAATTCCCAAGTGGAGACCACTGTCACTCAAAAATTATTTCGCTTATTACAGACCCTAAACATAACGCGGGTTTCAATAAGAGAGCCAAGGAGCAAAATAGGCAAACGGAAATTTATTTAACTTGAAAAAATAAAATAATTATTCGTTAATATAAACGGACGAGTTCTCGGGAGGGAAATTAACCCATACCAAATCTTTAGGAATTGCACCTTCCATATAATTGTCAAAAGCTATTCTAAATTCTATTCTGAAACTTTCAGCCTAAGATCACCGACGAATACGAAATAAAACTAACCCATGACGTTTCTTGAGGCCGCTATTACCATAGTAGAGTTTTGATCTGATTGCTTTTCGCTGCGGTTTATAATCCACCTTTCTGGAATAATACTTTGAATATCCCAATTAATCAGATTGAATACCCTGGCTATATGCAAGCAGGGCAAAAACCATTGCGCATAGAAATAA